AACAACAACAACAAACAACTGGGTGGGGGTGGGCATGAGAGAATAATTTCAAATTAAGATTCACAATCATATGATAAAACTTACAATTAATAAATATATTTGTATTTCAATATATTGGGGGAGGGGGGAATAAAGTGGTTAACTTTAAAAATAAATCATGGTTTAACATTACACCCCCAGCCCCCTCCCTTCCAAAAATAATAAGAAATGCTTTACATGCACTTTGCCACATAAGCGTGGAACTTACTCAATATCTTCCCAAGGTAATAAACGAATTTTAAATAAATAGTTTTCAGTTTTAACACGAGTATAACATTAAATCTACAAGTATCGGTTAGGCCAAAAAGTTAAAGACTCGCAAAGACCATAGTTTTGCTACTTTAAATCGCTGCGGTGTACGCAGGCCACAGACCATGATTTAGCTAGGTACACCGCCGCGGTGTACGCAGACCAAAGTCAATAGTTTCGCTAGGTACACCGCCGCGGTGTACGTAGGGCCGGCTTTTTAAATTACCATAATGATGTAAGATTTCCGGTTACATGTAAACAGATCATACGAGTTTTCGTACACGGGTTCTCTTTCTTTTCTAGAATTTGAGAGCAATTTCTTGGAAAACACAACAGCGTTAGCTGTGACTGTGACTAGCTGGTAAGAAATTGAAGTTAATATTTATACCAACGTATGAGTGTGGTGATGTTCATATTTGGCGTCTAATATTTTAAACAATATTGGCATTTGCTAGTCAACTGTCAACTGATTGTAAATTAAATTGTTAAAATTAAAATCAAATGTAACCAAAATAATTTAAATAGTAAAAGTAAATAGTTTAAATTAAAAACAGGTAGGCCTAGGCGTACGCCGGTACTGCATGGCATAGGCTTAAAAATAAGGCCAAGTTAAGCAGTGTTTCTTTCAGACAATTTTCCCTGGGAAAGTGAGTGGGGGCATATCAGATTTTCCGGTGGCCTCTGCAGTACCCGTGGCTAGAGGCATCGCTAAGAGTAAGTTGGGGCAGAAGGGATAAATGTCCCTGGACTCCCAACTGGGGGAGGGGGGGGATAGAAAAAAATCGGATTTGATGGTATTTTATTGATGAAATGGTAATAAGGCAAGGGGGAGAGACTGCAAGCAATCGGCAATCAGGTTAGCAAAAAATGAAAATGAAAAAAAAATGAAAAAATTAATGCAAACAAAACAATGTCCCAATGTCAAGGGGTGTGTGGCCTAATTTGGCCATCTATGGTGGTTTCCAAAGATGCCAGATCAAATTATGCAACAATGTTGTTTTGTTTGCATTCATTTTTTCAGGTTTTCCCATGCTTTGTTTCACTAATTTCCTTTTTTATTGATGAACATAGGTTTCAGAGTAAGGCCGGGAGGGGGGGTGTTTAAATTTAATCTTGTTACTGTTACCCTGGTGCCAAACACTCCAGCTATGCCTCCAACAGTGGCGTAATAGGGGCGGATGGGTTAGTCTATTTTTCTTATACTTTTATGGAGACTTGGCATTTTTGGACAACAGCATAATTTAGTTTTTTTTATCTTGAAAGGAAGTGTACCAATAATCTTGTCCCGCCTAGCTATGCCATTGGGCAGTGTATATATGTGCACTAAATTGGGCATCATTTGTATAGGAAAGTAGGCCAGAAATTGTTGACGATGATGGCTCTTGGGCGTAAGAGGGGCCTGTTCCCTGCAAAATTTACGATAATTTCTAAATCAAAAGGTACATTTTGGTATACACCTAATTTCAGTGTTTCTTTTAGCCTTTTTTGACCCTTGGAGGTGGGGATGGTGGAATTTTATAAGCAAGGGAGAGGGGGGGGAGCGACTTTAGGACGACCCTTAGTAACTAGAACCCCATAGGCTATATTAGACTGTACTATCTATCTGCAACAGTACTAATGTAACTACAACTGTGATTTTTTTTTTTGTCCTTTAATTTTTAAAAAATCTTTTATTACAGGCATAACACAATCAAACTTTAAATTTGACTGACCCTGACTTATTAAATAGTCATGTCATACACAAACAACATGGATGATCCAGAGCTAGGAGATTCTTTGATAAATGAATATTCATTTAGTGAAAAAGCTGTCAGAATGGGTACATATCTTTTTAACATTCTTGATAAATTAATTTAAATACTAAAACAAAGTTAGAAATTCAATTTTCATTGTTTTTATGTCCACTTATTTAAAAAGCAAGTTGATGAAAATAATAATCATGCATTTCTTACCTAATTAATAAATAATTGAAAAATAAGTTTCAATTGTTAAATTATCAATGTTAATTGTAGGAACTGATTATTTTAAATTTTTAGTTATTTATGCTAACTTTTTTTCCCCTTAAAAACAATTCTTTTTAGGCTTCATACGAAAGGTATACTCAATACTTTTTGTGCAGATTGGAGTAACAGCTTCCATGATTGCACTTTTTATCTATGTGTAAGTTACAATAACTGTGTTTGTAACCAAAATTTTTCTGTGTGTTCCTATTTACTGATTTAACTCTCACTCTGTCTTATATGTGTCTGAGATGTAAAAGAATGCAATTTATTTTCTTGTTATATACTCATTCAAACCACAAGTAATTTATGAGCTGTCTGATAACTTTTTTATTCATCAAAGAGACTAATTTTCTTTCTCTTTCTTTTTAGTCTCCTTGTCTCCTTTTGAAGCTTATTTATCACAATAACAAAATGTAACATGAAACACTAGAATAATTTTTTCATTTATATATAACTATGTGCAAAATCCATTTTTTTTTGTTTATTGCAGGGATCCCATCAAAGAATATTCAAGAGATAACCCATGGATGTGGATTTTGGCTTTGTAAGTTTGATTTTTAAAAATGTTAAAGTATCTTGCATACCTTATTGATAGCAATATCCATTTTGAAAATGAATGGTTAGAAGGTTTATAATTATTAAAATTTCAGTAAAATATTATTTATATTGTTCTGTTTTTTTTAAAAATTTGTTTTGTTTTTTTCAGCATTAGGTTTTTAAAGACCAGCTCTGTAAACTTATACTAAGTAACATTTAAAGTTTTGCTGTGCATTTAAATGAGATGCCCTTTTTTTTTTGTTTTGTTCACAGCGTTATGACATTTGTCATCATCATAGTACTAGCATGTTGTCCAGATTTCAGAAGAAAGTCACCTATAAACTTTATACTACTTTTTGTTTTTGTGAGTATCCCTCTTTTTTTGTGTGTGGATATAGTCCTATTTAAGGTTATTTGATTAAATTCCTAAATGCCTTTATTAAAATGTTAACTTATGCTGTCTAGTAATGTTTTAAATTCCACCTTATTCATCTGATAATAACATTATTATTATTTTCTTTCAGACATTTTGCGAAGGCTTTCTTCTTGGAACTGTCTCTGGGTAAGTAATTTTGTTCTTCAATTGCATGATACATGCCTTAACAGCAGTTATGTCCTGATTTTAATGCACAAGTTTACCTGCTTTTGATATGAAAGAAAGGCTCATCTCACCATCATAACGGCATAACAACAATATACACAAAGTGGGGGTGGACTTTTTTCATAATCATCATCAGTGGGACTTCAGCCCATGTAGGGCCCTGGCCTGTTCACCACATCCTTCCATTCAGATGGATCTGTTGCTTTCCAACTCCTTGCGTGGACCCCCAGCAGGTGTAAGTCCTTCTCTTTGTTGTCGATCCATCTCATACTTGGTCAATATGTGAGCCGTTTGCCTCTAGATTTCTATCTGTAGATCACTTTTGCCGCTCTACCATCTGGCATCCTCTGAAAGAGTCCCGTCAAGTGCAGTCTGTCTTTTTAAAACTTTTGGGACTATGGGTGGGTCTTTGTACATTTGGTATATCTCTTAGTTTGTAAGGATTCTCCATACATCACTGTCTATCACCGGACCATATTTTCCTGAGGATTTTCCTCTCCTATGTGTTGAGCAGGTTCTTTGCTTTTTAGATATTTGAAAGTAGCCACACTCTCAAAGGTGTGGTTGCTTAAATTTAAATGATGTCTCTAGTATGGATGTTTTTCATGACAATACCACATATTTTATCTCTGCTTCATTTTTACCTCAAGATCAGCTTTAACTGAGGCATCTTCTAATTCCTTGGATGTTTTAATTATATAATTGCTGTTTCTGTGGATTCTTTTTTTTACAAACCATAACCAGTTGTTAATGCTCACATGAAAGTCCAAAATAAACTTTGCTGTTGTCTTACTTGCCTGGTCCTATGAATCCAAACTTTAAAAAAAAAAAAATCTATTGCACATTGTTTTTACAACTTTCTGCTTGACTTGCTGTAACACCAAATCTCAGCTGCACATTGAAAGGATATTCTTTTATACAAATTTCTGCTTGACTTGCTGTAACACCAACTGTCAGCTGTGCATTCAAATGATATTTGCTTCTGCAGGGAGATTTCAACCAATACAACTTTTGACAGATTGACATAATTGAAGACCTTAGGGCTAAAAGTACTTTAAACACAAAAACCCATTTAGGGATAAGTTCAAAAATTATTTTTGGCTATAAAATGTGATCATTCTTAATTTTGGGCTTGTTTAATTAAGCGACTTGGCTACATTTTAACGTCTTCAAATTTATACAGTAGACTTGACTAAGTTGAGGAAAAAAAGGTCGCAATTTAGATTGATTTTTACAAAAAATATGTCTTAAATGTTTTTAGCAATAGGGTCTGCATATCAGTTTGGCTAATTTTGAAATTTCCCAAAAGGTAGTATATATATTTTTATATAAATATATGTATAAATAAATTTTTTTTAAAAAGTGCTCTTGTGGACCGTTTCATCTTTTAAAAGGAGACTTGCTTGCTAATTATTTGAATTATTTTATTTTTTTTGTGTGTGCGTGACTAATTTTTGTTCAAAGATAAAATTACTCATTCTTTTTGTACTCACGACACAGTTTAAATTGTTTTATTTGATCCACAGACACTATGAAAAGGATGAGGTATTGATGGCAGTGGGGATCACAGCAGTGAGTATTCAAAATAATATCCCATGTTTCATTGACCATCATCAAATATACTATCCTGTTTATCATTGATCATCATCAAAATTAGTATCCTAAGTTTTGTTGATTATCATCATGCTTTACTAATAACGACCCACCAAACAATGGCATCTACATTGCATGAACTTCCCATCTACTAAAGTTACTTGAAAACACATGCTAACTTCTGGGCATTTTATTATGTTAATCTTTTTTTTAATTTATAAAAATAATACTTGCGTATTGAAGAATTTATATATTTAAATATTGGGCTAAGCATATTTGCCAGATTTAAATAGATTAGATTTCTGTAAATAAAAAAAACAACAAATCTCAGTATCTGTGTTTTTAAGGATACGATTTAGAAATAGGCATTATATCTTGCATGGCTGTTTAACACAGATTTACACCTGTAACAGACAGTAACACACACATGGATACAGAAATAGACACATACAGAGACTCAGAGAGAGACACACACAGACACACATACATGCCTAGAGAATAATTATTTGTGATGTCACGACTGTTTGATCAAAAAAAAATTTTTTCTGTCTGTCATTGAGAGAAACAGATATCAGATATATACTTTGAAAAGAAATAACATTATCTGCTAACAGGCTTAATTAATTTCAGACAATTTAATGGGATAAAAATCACTGTAAAATTACTCTGGTCTATTATTTTAAAGTTGGATGCTATTTCATGTTGATGAATTACCCAAAGGTCTGAATTTGAACTATGCCAAGAGCAGAAGTCATTACAGCCAGTCAGTGTTTTTCTTAATCCCATAATTATAATTATAAAAATGAATGCTTTTTGTGTATACTGAAGAAGGCATTTTGCCTGAAACTTTCAAACTTGTATTTTGTGTGACCATAAATTAAAGCTTAGGATGCGTTGTTTTATTCACACAAATTGTCTGCGCCTCTTTAATCCCATAATAATACATGTTATGGTCAGGCTAACGAAGAATAATTTTTCCGCCGTGTTTCAAACATTCATGTCTTAACTCATGTGTCACGGAAATCACTGATTGCTCAGCTGTTCTGTTTGTTCTACAGATTGTGACCCTTGCGCTCACCGTCTTTGCTTTCCAGACTAAGGTTAGTTTACCTTCTTTAAAAAAAAAAAAAAAAAAAAAATAGAAGAAATTAATCCAGGGAGGGTCCATTGGTTTAATTAAGCAGCAGCAGCATAATAATTTTGATGGGATATAAATAAATAAACTTATTATGATATCAATGATTTTTTTAAAGTGCATCAGAGGTTTGTCTATAATAACGTGTCAGTCTTGTGAACAGAGGCTAAATAATTTATTGTTTATCATCCACAGTGGGACTTCACCATGATGGGCGGCATGTTATTCGTACTGGTCATTGTACTCTTCTGCTTTGGGATTCTGTGTGCAATTATCCAGAGCAGGGTAAGTCAGCTTCTGGTCAAGTGACGTGGAAGATGAGATGGTTTACAATAACTTATTATAACGTATTAGCTGGATGAACTTTACTAAAGGAAATGAACAAAATGCACTTGCAATTTTTTTTTCTTCCTAAGGTCATCTTAATTTATTTGGTGTTTCAGATTCTTAGCCTGGTTTACGCATCCATTGGGGCACTGATTTTTTCAGCAGTAAGTATCACAACCTCTGTTGTTTTATATCATGCATACTGTTCCGGTAATATATTGTTAATTAACTTAATGTTATGTGAGTAGGAGAAAGAGCCCCAAAAAAAATCCTCAGGAAGTCTATCATAACTTTCCTTTATGGCATTTGCAGTAAAGTACTGACCTTGGAACAAATATAAGTGCCTCTAGAATAGAATTTAAAAAATAGCAAATTAAAAGATGTGATATCAGGCCTATCTTGTGATACATATTTCGCCACATAACAAATTCTTCTTCTTTTTTTTTTTAAAAAAAGTGTAAAATATTACTACTGTGACTTCCAGACATCTGAGTTAAACTGCTGGTCTTAAAAAAGTATCATCAGTCTTCTGATCCCATTTATGTCTGACAGAAATGTTTAAATATAAACCGCCATTGAAAAAAAATCATATGTCATATTTCTTAATATTAAACTAATCATACATTGTCTCAGCACGTTTACACTCAAAGTCACTATTCCCTGTAATATGTTAAGCCACGCGATTCCTATCACCACTTGTCAACCATTTATCTGTACAGCGACATGCCCCCCATCACCTTTGCCTTATTTTAAAGCCTCGTTTCTAACTCCACCCCCACAGTACATCGTGTTTGACACTCAGATGATGCTGGGAGGCAAGCACAAGTATTCAATTTCTCCTGAGGAGTACATCTTTGCAGCCCTCAACTTGTACCTGGACATCATCAACCTCTTCCTCTTCATCCTCTCCATCATTGGAAATGCTAAGGACTGAGAGAGTTGACAAAGAAACAAAGAGAAAACCTAGCTTTTTATGGAGTTTTTCAAGTGAAAAACTTACACTTGTTCAATTTTTTCTGGGTATTTCCCCTCAATTATAAATTGTTTATGGTCTAAAATATTTAAATTATAATGCATACTCACTATTTTTATTTTAAAAACTCATGTATAAATATGAGGAATGTAACCATTGCTTTAGACAAAAGTAATAATGAATTAATTTTTTCATTAGCTGCCGGTTATCAGATCTGCATTAATTGGAAAAATAAGAATTCATTAGTTTTTTAATGATGAAATTAATTAATCTTATTTTGGGTATGGGAGACCATGAAATAACAATAATTTGAGAGAATTCTAATGTTACAGTTTTATTATTATTATGTCTAAGCAGAGATTGAAACCCACCACAGTTGATGGGGGCAGCAGATGTTACTTCAGTCAATACCACACCCCCACACCTGGAATTTACACAAAAACTGCCACTCTCACATCACCTGTGGGGAAAACTGATTGGTGGTGTGGGGAAAAAAATTATGACTATTGATCAGAGGCTAGCATATGCACGCATACACAAGGGGTGGTCGTCTTGTTCATCTCAGATGACAAAATACTTACTGGTCAACTGATTCATTTGGAAGTGATGGGTAAATCTAGAAAGCAAATTAAGTTGTGTGGGGTATGGCTTTAAAAAGTAAAAATAAATTTCAAGAATGTTATGCCGATGATTTTTAACCCATTTAACAATGATCCGACTATGATTTTTAACCCATTTAGCAATGATCCGTCTATGATTTTTAACCCTTTAGCAGTGATCCGAGTCAATTTCTTGTGATTTCATCTGTATATATATGAAAAACTGGTCAAAGGTCAAATCAGAGTTGACTGGGCTTGTTTTTTTCTTGTTTGACTTCATACATAACGTCTATGATCATGATGATGCTTAAACATATACACCTTAATCCCGACATTTGCCAAAGGTAGGCATTTCCAACTATATATAGTTTGATTCATGAATATGTTGAGAAATCTACCTGTAAAAAAAAGAATAGTGAAAATGATGCCATTATATTAACAAATGTGTCATTGTTTATGCAGTCCAACTTTATATTGATTTGATTGATCTACTTTTGGTTTCATATCGCAAGGGATACTTGTGTGGCAAGGTCCTCATTTTTAAACACAAATTTTAAATTCAGGAACCCTACCTTTTTAAAATTTATTTTTATTTCCCCCCAAATAACTTGAACCTAGTCCAATGACAGAGAACTACAGCAGTATTATTAAATGAACTCTAATTATCAATGTTAATTTTCCCATTTGTTATAAACATTGGTCTACAGTTTTACGTACACAATTGTTAGTTAACAGTCGTTTACCCTGCAAAAAAATGAATTAAACACATAATTAAACTTGTCTCACAATGTTAACATCTAGTATAGTTATATTATATATTTATTTAAGCTTTAAATTTGAAATAAAACTTTCCTTGCAACTGTGAATAAGTCCTAATTGCATAATAATGTTTTATGCTTAGATAAGCCATTTATCTGTCTTAGTTTTTTGCTGAATGTTAAATGATCAATGAAACAAATGTAATGCTCTACAAATAAAGTAATCTTTTATTATTGTATGCGCGTGAAAAAATGCAGATTTTCAGTAGATTTTTCTTGTAAGATTTCTCAATAGAATTAAAACTGAGGGTACTAGTTTATACTACTTTTGATTTATTTTGAGTTCTGAGATTTAAAGCTGAGGGTACTAGTTTATACTTCTTTTGATTTATATTGAGTACTGAGATCAGACCTGTTTACTCTTACGATTTTGGCGTACAATGTACGATTTTGAGGTGTTAATATGTATACTGTATGTTTATTTTTTTCTATAAATATAAGGTATTGAACGATTTTGTGATAATATTGTACGATTTTTAGAGTCTGAGGGTAAACAAGTCTGTGAGATTTGAAACTGGGGGTACTACTAGTTTATACTTCTTTTGATTTATATGGGTAATAAGGGGAGAGACTGCAATCAGGTTAGCACAATATGAAATTAGTAAAACAAAGTAAGATTAAACCTGAAAAAGGAACGCAACAAAACAGTTTAAGTTGACCCTGATAAATGGTGTCAGAAGTTATTAAAATTAATATTTTATTTGATCTTCAATTTTCCCCATAATCGAAACAGAATAGAGACCGGGAAAGCTCAATTGAAAAGTGTGCAACAATAGTTATGAGGAATGATTTCTTTTCAGCAGCAAAATAAGATCTGTTTTAACATTTTGTATTTCAATTAAACTAAACTTTTAAATTTAGCTGTTCTCTTGATCTATATGGAAGAAGAAAAAAAACTGGCGTATTTAATTTGTATCCTTGTTGGTTGTTTTCCTTTTAAACCAAAATGGTTTACCAAAACAAATGTGTTCTTTATTTTTTTAAATATATATTTGATTTAGTTTTGTGACATAAAACTCTGATGTTGAATTGTAATCAAAAGGTTTGTTGTGCTTGATTTTCTCTCAGTTCAAACTTCTCAGTATCATTTGAAATAGATTTGGGAACTGTTGTCTTTGGCCCATACTTAAAATTTAATTTTCAATAACAACGTCATCGATAAATCTTTGCAACAATTCACTCCTTTGAACAAGCTGTGTATGTATGTGTATATATATATATATATATATATATATATATTGAAGCAGTTTATTTTTAACACTTTAACCAAAATAAAAATGTATTTAGTGGGATGAAAGCTCCCATCATGCATTTCGGGCACTGTTATCTCAAATCTGCATTTAGTTATTACTATAAATAAAGAAAATAATACAAAAACATTTAATCGGCTAAGTGATGCAAGTATTTTAGTGACATTTTAAACTTTGTTGAATCTGAGATTCCAGCTTGCAAGTTTGTTATTTGTCATGGATCACGTTTTTTAGATTAAATTAATTTTATTGATTTTTTTTTTTATGATAACATTATGCCTAATAAAGTTCAGTCAAAAAGGGAGTTTTCAAATATGAGAATTAAGGTCAACAAATGATAAGGTCACTCAATGAATGAACACTGCAAGGGGAAAATTTGAAGATAAAATGTATCTACCTTAATATCTTATACATAAAGCTTATGTAGAGTCCATGGAATTTGTATATATATTAGGTCTGTAAGTGGTATGTAATCCCTAGATTTGGTCTGTAAGGGATGTTCTGAATCTAATTTCCCTATCTCTGACATGACCTACTAGGATACTATTAATAGTAATGATAATTGAACGCATTTTTTCTCACATTAAAGTTATACTATCTTGCTTTCCCTTGCATTTAACATTAACCTTATGACTGAGACTATTTATCTAGACTAGAAGAAATACCTGAAAAATTTAGTCTGTTATTATTCCCAAAGCCCTTTATCAGGCATTAAAAAATCCCGAACTAGACTCTATGAAAAGAACAAAGTTAATAAAAAATGTTCAATGCTGAATCCAATTTTCCAATACTATTCTTATGTTTTTTGCAAATTTTTTTTAAAAAAGGGGGATATAGTTAATGCGACATAGCTGAAGGGATATAGTGAAAGGGAAATCCTTAACTGGCAATACATGACATGCAAGCTGGGGGGACTCAAAATAATTTTCTTTAATTTTCTTTAATTGTGTTGTGATGTTGATATAATGGCCAGACGGGGCCTGGCAAAACTATACTTGCATCAAGTTATGTTTGAAAAAGTATAAAAATTATTTTTCATTTGTGATTTTTTGTTTTGTTATTCCCTCCCATTTGTACAGCTGAGTATTTTATTTCATTTTGTAGCTTTAACTTGTCTTTCTTAATTTTGTCTCAACATTATTAAATATTTTTTTCAAAGTTATATTTTGTGTCTTGTTGTTGTTGACTGCTTAGTAGGTAATCTTAAGGTTATTGGGACTCTGGCCTTGCACCTAGCTTACACATAAGTCATTAATATAGTACATCTGGACTCAAAGCTGGACTGAATGAAATTCAATCTAGTGTTTTTGTATGCAGTTTGAAACTTTGAGATAACGTAACAAGAGAAAATCACCTTGCGCTCCCCCACTGGAAAGAATATCAGATAAGCTGATGCTAAAGTTGATTATGAGCAGAGAATATAAGACAAACATAGTACCGGAACAAGTTAACAGGCGCCATCAATAAATGATGTCACCCTAATTTTGAAGGATTTTGGACGCCCACCCTCCCTATTGTAACAAAATTTATACACCCTCATAACACATTGCCAAAAATTTGTGACCGTCCTCTCCCCTATAATATGTGTGATACCATTAAAGGATGCTCCCATTTATTGATAATTTAACAGCAGATGTTAAAAAAAACGTTTTTTATGATATTTTTTACGAAATTTGCAAATACGACATGTGAAAGCTCCTCACTCACCCGTATAACAAAATAGAGGCTCATATTTACACCATGTTAAGCCATCTCACTCACCCATAGAAGATAACATGATAGAGGCTCACATTAATTGTTCTTTCCATAATGTTATCAGTAAAGAAATTTTACAAAAAGAAATGAGGATTAAGGTGTTCTTTGTTGGTCTAAAAGTTTGACAAGGTACTCCCATGCCCATGCTAACCGCACTATCAAAGTCAAATGTTAAAAAAAAAAAATAATTAAAAAAATATCTACATCTTTCAACAAAACAGTTAAGTTTATCGTGTCAACATTGTAACTATAACAAAAATAGACAATAATTGAAAACAAGAAATACAATAATATGCCATAATTAACTTCACCGTGAAACAATAAATAATCTTAACAATTGTACAACAGCAACTTAAAAACTTATACAAATAGCACTGACAGTTGCTAGCATATTTCATTTCACCGGGCACATTCTGAAAGTATATATTTGTAACATAAATGCTTTTTAAAACCATTAGATATTTCAATGTATAAAATATACATTCAAAACCTACTAGTACAAAAAAAAATATTTTTAACTTTAAAAAAAGAAAAGAATTTCTATCAAAGACAAAAAAACTGCACTTAAAAGTAGGAAATAATTTACAATTTCTTAAAATGCATTATGCAAAGAAAGATCAGTAGATGATAACTTGGTGTAGCCAAAGGATTCAAATTGAATTTAGACAAAATTGAAATATGTTTTATTTTAATTATTTTTTTTTTTTAAATTTCTGCACAGACCTTCTTTTTAATAAATTGTAAATTATTTCCCACTTTTTAGCGCCTTTTAACTCGCTTTTGGTAGAAATTCTTTTTTTTAAAAAAGTTTTTTTTAAAATATATTTTATTTCCTACATTTTAATATTAAAATTGTAATCTTAAATTATGAGAAAAAGTAGAATTATTTACTTTTTAAAACATCCAATGCTTACAAAATCCCTGTTGAAGTGTCTTAACTCTTTATGTTGAAGTGTCTTAACTCTTTACCTCGGCAAAAATCTAATAAAAGTAGATATAAGATCACCCACCCACCCACCCGTTCACTCAACCGCGAAGCAGACGGGGACAACTACGATAATTTACACCACAGATTCAACCCGCCTCAACCCAAAATGTTACATGTGTAAACAAAAAAATAACACTCCTTTCACACAAAAGATAGAAATGCTTTTAAAAGAGGAAGTCGCAAAAAATTAATCACTAATTAACAAAATTCACAAACTGTTGCCAGCATTTATTAATTCACTGGGCTAATTCTTAAAGTATATTTTTATAAGATAGACATGAATACTATTTTGAAAACATTTAATCTTTTACTTTTAGTTTATAAAAATGTATACATGAGAACCCTGTGTTACACTAACATTGAGTCACTTTCCCTTGAAATTTGATTATATAATTGAAAATACAGCAAAAACAAACTGGCTGTGCCCAGAAACACAAATAGACTCGTTGAAAATTTAAACAAATAATTCATCAAGATATTTTTAGCCTTATAAAAAAAAAGGACAACAATTCAACCAACGTTTCGGTCAGATGCATTCTTCATTAGACTCGCGGCTTGAATGCAGTCCCCTATTTATATTATTGGCAATTTAAAAATGTTATCAATAACTACTACATATCACTTATACACAAGAATACTTTACACACACACAAATTAGGTTGAACTTTTGGGAAGTTTTGACAAATCCTGAAATAAATTCATCTTAACATCCAGTGAAATAAGCAAAGGGAGACTGGCACATCTGATACAGATAATAATGTAGCTACATTTTTATTATTCCATCCAGTTTTAGTGACAGATTTTCTCCACACGGAATCTGATAATGAAACTATAGTCACACAGTGATGAAGGATCCTTCAGTGCAGCGTCACAAGAACCTAATCCATTATATTTTCTTCTAAAAAAAAAATGATACCTAATCAGTCTTAGATCCTCCATGATTTCTGGACCATGTAAATATCCCAGCCGTCGTGAATTACTGAGTTCACATTGTTTATATTCTCAGAGTAAAGTCGGCACCCGATATCGTTCTGGGGGACTTCTTTATTATAGTTGAGCATCCTGCAGTGTTGAACATTGATGCATTTAAGGGTACAATCAATGAGACTCCTAGAACCTAATCCCATGAGAGGTGTTCCTTGGATGTAAGAGCTGGCCTGGACAAGCCAGATGTCACCCTCGTGATACGCTGTAGAAGAAAGTAGAAGAAGAATTGTAATTCAAAGTATCTGTAATGTGGAGAAATGGAGAAAAGTAATTGTCAAGTAATATTCGGGTTGACTTAGTTATAATGCTATATTTGCAGCTGGCAAGGTCATGGCACTCACAGGGCTGAAATCATTAAGCAGTTTGGTTTGATACTTAGTGTAAGATAAAGTTACCTCCTTGGTAACATCTACCTTCATGAGCATACCTACCTCCTGGGCCACACCTTCCTCCAAGTTGACACCTACCTTTGTGGCCATACCTACCACCTGGGCCACACCTTCCTCCAAGTTGACACCTACCTTTGTGGCCATACCTACCACCTGGGCCACACCTAACTCCTAAGTATATAAGACCAGATCTAGAAAATAGAGGATTATGCTATAAAATTATCTAATTATATAATTACACACACCAAGCTGCCAAGATGCATCCCTCCACTTCAATCTTTACCTCGTTACACAACTAAACTTTCAATTTGCAAACAGCCATACAATAGGAAAGAAGATAGTAGATACTTTTAGAAGCTTAAAGTACTTTGTAAGGCGACTTTAGTTTTACATGATCATTCATTAATCAAGGCCTGCAATCAACATGCAAGCTGTCCTTAGATCTGGCTACAGCATGGACAATTCTATTTGGTTTGATTTCTCTTTTACTCTCTATTGTTAGAGAAAACAAAAGCCCAGAAACTGGTAAAACAAAAAATGTTAAACATTTGGACCTACTCCTGGATTGGCAGCTGTCTCTGATGTCGCTCCACTGATAAGTGATGTTGCTGCATATCGTTAGTTTTTCCATCAGTTGGTCAGAAAACACCGTCCCTTCCTCACAGTGGTAAATGGCAGAGTAGGACTCATTAGTAGGCAGCACAGAGGTGAAGGGAAGAGCTGGGGGCTCAACAGAACAGCGAAACCCTGAAATATTCAAATCAGTAATAACTAAAGTGTTTTCATTTTTTTAAATTAGATCTTTCCCTCCCCACTGGTATATAAATAGATTCCGGGTTGACAAATTAAATGTCCTTTGTAAATTTTCTGATATACGCCCTACTTTGTAAAATTCCATCAGCCATTTTAAAGCAGTTATAACATATTTTTAAAAATTTTAATGAAAAATTTATTTTTTCTTACTCTCACAAGCAGGCTCTGTTGTACTCCACTGCCCGCTGCCCTGACAATAAATGTTCTTGACTGTTTGGTTATCTGATGGAAAGTGACAGCCATCCTGGCAGGTGTAAGTTAGCACTGTGCCATAAGTATAAAAACTAGCGGTGCCATTGACAACAGCATTTTCAACTTTTGGAGGGGCCAGGCATTTGACAGCTAAAAAAAGTAAATGTCGAGGATTAAACACATTTAAAAATTTGTGTGCTCTCTCGATGTTATATGACAGCAAAAACATATTGGAAAAAAATATTAAAAATAAAACATTTTATATGCCAGGAAATTTCAAGCCATTTCTTCTGAATAGCATATTCATGTTTTAACATGCATATAAAGAACAGTATGACAATTAAAATAGTGAGCTAAATGACCAAACTTACGCTCGCAAGGCAAAGGTGCAGGCAGCCATTTCTTAAATTCATTACACGTCATTGTCCAAATGGCAACTGTTCCATTAAAGGTGAATTTTGACTGCATACATTCGTAACTTATGGTATCTCCATAAAATGTTGTGCCGTTTATGGCTGGTGTAATTATTGCATCAGGAAGTGTTGGGAATGGTCCACAACTGACTCCTGTAAAATATATATATATATATATATATAATATACAGAAACTTGAAGTACATCTTAAAAGGACAAGTATTTATTCAATGATAAATGATGAATACTTAAATTTTAAAGACAACACAATCTTCAGCAAACCACAGGACACTTCTTTAAAAAAAAAATTAACACGTTTTTTAAAACATCTGAAATAAAGGGTTTTCAAAATGTTTTTTGTTTACACATTACACACCTAACAATGATCTCAAGTATTTAAATAAGTGTCAAGTTAGTGAAACCTTTCCCTCCCATCCCAAATGCTCTTATAAAAAAAATCATAACAGTTCTTCTTCTTCTATATTTTAAGGGCCCACGATCAATTTATTGATCATTTTGGCTCCTATGCATGTAGATGGGATTTGCAATGTTTCTGTTACTGGTGTTGATGAGGAAATCATGCACTAGGGGTTTGAAGGCTTGAGGCAATAGACACAAATGTGTCTAGTGTTGTCGCCTCAA